GCCCATACCGGACGGGGTATGGGGACGACCCATTTCACCATCATACAAGACGGGGTATTGAGGTTCATGGTTTTGGCGCCCATACCGGACGGGGTATGGGGACGGCCCTGGAATCAGGTTGTACATGTTAATGGTTCACGTGTAGCGGGGACCCCCTATGGATCCCCAGGGATACTAGTAGGCTGGTAAAAGAGGAAATCTGTTTTCTGATGATTGAAATGTAAAGGTATGATATGTGTTATATTATAAAGTGTGTATGATTTCATGATATTATAAGGTTATTATTTTTATATGTTGTTTTCATGGATCTCACCGAGATAAGTGGACAGTAAAGGTTTTTATATTAATAAACGAGTTCGTTATAAATTATGGTCCATTAGTCATTTTTGTTTTCTACACACCTTTACTTTTGTGGCGGTGAGATAATGTGATGTCTTTACTGGGCTAGTGTAGCTCATTCCTTATTTAACCATTTCAGATCAGGAAGACATTGTTCCCGAGCCCGTTCCGCAGGAAGAGGGCGAAGGGGACGCCTAAAGACTCCATAGTTATATTTATAGTTCTTATTTCGAGTATCTCTTTTAGTTAGTTTGTTCTTTCATGTTTTGAATACGTTTTGGTTATTGTGTAAGGGATGTTAATCAAAATTTTTATTACGCTTCCGCATTTGAGATTTTTAATACATATATTTCATTTAAACTTCCGGGACTGTTACAATTACAATATTAGTATTCAGTAGATAGCTATTAATTGATTGCGTAGTTTCTGAAAAAAAAAATTATATGATTTAAGAATGATAGAGAAGGAATTGATTTGTAATATTCAAGTTTAAATTTGTTGATTAGGTTAGGGACCTTCTAAGGTTAATCCTTTCTCTACTATTTCCCAATTATCAGTAGCGATTTATTCCAATGAGATCGAATGTTATAGTGTGGATATGGTCATATGGCGGTGGGGGAAGGTCATATGTGGCAGTAAATGCCTGATTGGTTGTGTTGAACCGTCCGTGCGCGCGGGAACGGATCTGGGCCGTCTGATCGCACGCACGCGGATCGCCAACGTGGCTCGTCCCGTGTCAGCGTTTTCTTGCCACGCGGCGTGTCCTGGTTGGCCGAGGCTGCTGACCAGGTTGCTGACGTGGCACAACTTTTTTAAATTGCGTTTTGACCCCCCGATTTTCGATTTTCTTTTCAAAAACACCCCGAGAATCTAAATTTTCACCTCTTTTTTTCAAAATCAATTTCAATTAAATCCAAATAATATTTTTACCCAATTTTATCATTATTATTATTTTTATTTTCATTAAATTAAATTGAATTAAATTAAATTAAATTAAATTAAAATCTAAAAAATTCAAATACAAAAAAAAAAGAAAAATTAAATAAAAATAAAAATAAAAATAATATAAACAAATATTTTGGGTGTTACAGTAATGCGCAATTCAAATACAACAGTCAGAAGCTACAATATAATACATGACAGGATTAATTCAAGCCATGGTTTACCAAAAACTTTGTACCTACAAAACATGGTATGGCTACAAGCACGTAATATGGTATAGAAACTTGAAGGAAAAAAATACATGACAGCAAACACAAAAAAGAAAGAGAAAAGAGGCCGTTAGTAAACTTATCTAAATTTCTCTTCTGGCTTAGCTCCAGAAATTTGTAGTCTTTAACCTTGAATTGTAATAGAATGCTTTTTTGATGTTTCAATTTTAAAGAGAAAAGAGTATATGAAAGAAAAAAAAGAAGTACCTAGAGAATTGATCAAGAAAATATATGAAATGAAACAAAACACTCAACACATGAAAGACAATGCGAGAGCAATTACAGCGGCATATTGTGCGTTAGATCTAGTTCACAAAATTCAAGCAAGTGTTGTGGAAAAGAGAAGCACAAAAAGATATATCCGGATTTAGCGAACTATTAAACAAAAAGAAAGATAGATATGATAAACTGAAAAAAAAAAAAAAAAAAAAAAATCAACATTCACATATCTATATTTCTGATAAATAAAATCGATTAAATATATCAAAATGATACAATCAATGGCAAAGAAAAAATGAGGAAACCAAACCAGATATTACTCTTAAAAATTGAAGAAACTTGAGGTCAATAACATTGGAGAGGAAAAGAAAGAGAAAGAGAAAAAAATTTGCTAATTGAAGAGCAATGCCTCTTAGTTGAAAGATCCTAAACTGCACAAAAATTATATTACTCAATCGAAAACTGAAGCATTTACTAAGACTAACAAAAATAGGGTTGATAATCACAAGACTTGATCCAAGTCTCCAAAACAACAATTGCTATAAGGTATCAGACAATTTGTTATATAAAAATAGGGTTTGAAGCTTTCCATAGAGTCAGATAAGATTCTCGCAGCCTGATAATTTATGGAGTTTAGGATATGTAACACAGAATTTAAAATCCCATCACCTTTCACCTGAAAGCTAGACAAAGAAACACGAACCCCGTGGAAGCAAAAAGAAAGAAGAAGCAATGAGATGTTCAACCTATAACCTAATGCACTGTTAGAAAAAAATCAGATACTATTCTTAAGAATTGGAGAAATTCAGAATCGATGACGTAGGAGATGCAAAGAGAAAGAGAAGAAAGAAAGAGAGAAGTGATAACAACATATAAAAGAACCCAATCAGATACTATTCTTGAGATTTGTTGGACCATCTGTTGAACACAGAACATAGATTGAGAAGATGATGATTCCATTCTTCATACAGTTTTATTGCCATCTTCCTCCATAACAAGTTTGTTTAATCGGTGTATGAGTAGATCAAAATCATCTTGGTTTCTTATAAGGCTGAGACGTACATATCGATTTTCAGCACCAAACATGCTTCCTCGACGACCAATTATATTTGCTGCATCGAGGACTGCACTGCAATCTTTATCTTCTTCCCTCTTGCACCTCACCCATGCATAAGCTGTGATCAGAGAACAAGTTATTATTACGGGGAAGTAATTAATCAGAAAGAACGAGCTTCTCAAGATTGGAGTGGAGGGACCATTTGGTTTAACTTTTGTTCTTAACGTAGTAAATTAATTTACCAGGTGAAGATTCTCTAACTCTGCGTAAAAAAGTGCAGTACTGAGGAGGAATTGTCTGAAGGGTAAAACGGCTGGAAGTTGAGAACGTGGCTTTGAGCTTCTCCCACCTACTCTTCATGGTGTTGTAGCCGAAATCGAATATGTCTCTTTCTTTTCTTGCTCCTACTATTATTTTAAGAAGTTTGAGAACTCTGAGTTGAGTATCTGTTGAAAGCCCCATGCTGTTTAATTCTATAAATGTTGTCATTCTTTCATATACTGACTTCTCCTTTATCACTGCCCATCTGTACCGCCCATTACCTAATTCGTTAAATCGCTTTTGAAATTAACAGCGGTATAAAATTGTCTTAAAATTAAATAATTACCCAAATCGAGTTCCACCATGGCCGGTGAGCTTAGAGATTGTAAAAATCATAAGATGTTCGTCAGCTGGAGCTGGAATTGGCGTAAAATGCGGCCAGTAATAAGCGTAATCATGAATTGATTTTGCATTTGGCCCATTCACAATTGCCTTATTTGGCAGCCCATCTGGATTGTTTGGGGAAGTCACAAATTCAATCACTTGTCTGTCGGCATATGAATCATTCGTCCACAACCTTGCATCTCCTTCAAACTTGAACACCGTTGACTTAAACAATTCTGCTTGTGTTCTATACAGCTGTAACCAAAGCTTACAATAGTTATAAGCGAAAAGACATGAGCAATTGATGAGTAAGAGATGGAGATAAAAGCAAAAAACCTCGTAATAAGGAACAGAAGCAAGAACAGCAGCAGGTGGGGCGGAGGAATTGGTGGGGGATAAGGCATGAACAGCAGCAGCCAGCAGTTGGCTTGAGCCTGCACCAAACAGTATGTACCTGTTTTCTGTGATGGCATTCCCCACGTATGCATGAAGCTTGCGTATCAACTTTTCAAGCTCTTTTGACATGAAACTCTCGTCATTGTATGTATAACTCATTCTGTGCCATCCTGCCACTACCATTGCACTGCTTGCCGCATGCTTCACCCAGAATGGCTCTAAGAATAATGGATCCCCACTGCCCATCATTATCAAATCAAATCAAATCAAATCAACCAACTTCATTTCTCATCATGAAGAATAGGTATAGGATATATGTATATATATATATATGTATACGCAGAGAAAAAAGCAGGAGTGATAAATACCCATCAGCGTTAGCTTTACAATTGGGAATAAGAACGGAACAATCAGTGCCTTGAAAGCATAAGTTACACTCGCAAACAGGTTCTGATTTCCCATCACTATCATCGCCGTCAATGTATGCCCTTCCATGGCCTGAACATGTTATGGCTCCCACAGCCTCGGCTTCCATTGCTGATCTTCCGCTCCAACTCATCCTCATCATATTACAATCCATAAAAACTTTACTCACCAACCATATATTCACACCCAAGCACGCCACTAGTACAGCTACAAACACATCCTGCCTACAGATTCTTCGCTCTCTTTCCATATTCTTCTTAACTAATTAATTTGCCTGCTCAACACATTTCACTCCTTTCTTCTGCTCATTAGAGTCTCTAATTTATCGTGCCCCCGGGTTGGCTTTTCACTATTAAACAATTACTATGTAAATGTATGCACGTAAACAATGAGACTTAACAAAACTTTTAACAGGAGTTTTACTACATAAACATATAGTTAAATATATGCTTAGACAAGTGCTTGTCTTGTGTGGTCAGAACAATATTCTAATTCCATCTTGCTTGCAATTAATGGTAATCATATTATGTTTGGTAATAGAATTATCTTTGGCACAGAATATTATATATACATATAACATGTTTAACTTTGGACAAAAAATTTCGTATTAATCTAACTTATCTCCCAGTCAAAATCTTAATTTTATCTTAATCTTATTGCTTAAATTTCAACTTTTTTTTTATTTTAATAAGACGTGTATTTTTTATATAATCTTTATAATAATCCCAATTGATATTCCTCGTACTGTTTATACCAACTTGTAGTATTAAGTTTAAAGGGTTTTAATTAATATTCTATTAACTATAAAATTTATCATCTACCATAAAATTATTAGCTAAATACAGTACCTACCCACCAATAATATAAATTAATATAATATGATATTAATTATAAATTGACTGATTCTCCACATTTTAATTGTTGTTACAAATTATCTAATAATGTATTTTATACCAACTTGTATTATTAATTTTTTTTTTTTTTTTTTTATCATTCAGAATGAATTTTTTTATTTAAAGACATAATACATACATACATACACATCTACATATATCGAAGTTTAACACCCAATAAAAGAATAATCTATCATTAATTACTAATAATCGGTTTACAATGAGTATTTATAGATACATCAACATCAAAACTAATGAGGAAGTAAACTAATTAATTTATTAATAAAATAAAATAATATACCTCCTCAAGATGAAGCAAATATGTTTTTGGGTTAAATCTTAGATAGTAGAGGAGAAGCATATCATAAGAAGATGAAGCTTCCGTGAAAATATCCATAGGTTGATGGCGAGACCGAATGGGAAGAAGCCTTTGTTACAATCTGATTTCGAATAAAGTGACAATTACTTTTAACGTGTTTAACTCATTCGTGAAGCACCAGACTAGAAACGTGAATGACAGGCTTAACTATCACCAGAAAAAACTAATGCATTTTTGTGAATCACGACGCAATTGTTTAATTCATAACAATTCGTCAACTGTTAAAGATAGATCGCGATACTCAAATTCTACAAAAGACTTGAAAAGTGTGCATTACTTTTTTACTTTCTAGAAGATCATAGAAACTCTAAGAAATATATAATACCTACAAATATAATTCTCGGGTCTAGATGAGATGCCCAATCAGGTATTAAGAAAGACCTTCAAAATGTAAATGACTTTATGAAGAGAAGAGATACCTTATCCGAGTGTTGTCCGCTGCTTGCAGATGCGGAAGGCATGACTGAGACAGAAATTAGCTAACTCATGCGCTGCAAAAAGAAAATGTTAGGCCTAGAAATGACTAGGTACAACAATCTGCTAATAAGTTTTTGATAAGAAGGAGCATAAGATGATAATTCACCCTCATGGGGATTTTTAATTGAGATTTAGGATCCATATCAAGTGCTAGTTTAGATGACAGGAAACCAGTATCTTCTTACAATTATAATGTATGACGTATTTGAGATAAAAATGTGTCAGTTGAGAATCTGACAATCTCCAAACCCAAAAAAATATTTCAAGACCCCTAAATCTTTAAACTTAAACTTTGTATGTAGAAATTGTTTTAAGTGAATTGATAAGATCTACAGAAGGACTAACAATCACAATGTCATAACATAAACCAGAAAACAATGAATGAGGAGTTGGTACCGTTGGTGAACAAGAAATAATCTGACTTTAGTTTCATAAAATCTAAATTGAAGCAGTGCATCAGCAAATTTTGAAGACCACTGTCTTAATTCCTGTTTAAGTCCACAAATGGACTCATGAAACTTGCAACACGTAGACATTAAATGGTACGTTTCCCCACGTTACCGGGATTCGATTAATATTAAAAACAAAACACAGAATTTGATTAAATATATTTCAATTTCAAGATGGGCTTCTTCGACCGGGATTCTGTCCTCATTCTGACATAAACCCTATTGGATCAGCTTACAATGAGAGAAATTTCTTTACCTCTCCAAATCACCATAAAATTTTCCCAAATCATTAGGCATTGTAAATAAGTGACCAATGTGTTTTAGCAGAGAAGAAAAGGACCAAGATGACCTCCTCAACTCTGCATTATGCAAAGATAAGGGTGAATCAAAATAAACAAGAAAAGGTTAATCTTGCCAAGAAGAGATTGGCTCCTGCTTCCCCGGGCGAGTATTAGCAAGTATCTGTTTCGTTTTCTCCAGCACTCCAAAGAAAATTGAACCTCCAACACCTATCCATAGTACTCTGGGTCCAATACCCTGTAATAAAAACAAAAGACAAGTTCATTTCGCACTATGCGTTCTACAGTAACTAATTTGATCTTGACTTGTATTTGTTTTTCTTTATGCATCTAATCATAAGTAGCATAAAAGTCGGTATAACTTGCCACAGATCAAACAAAACTAACCCGAAGAAATGCGGGCCAATGCAATTTGAAATTGCATTCAGCATGGAAAAGAATTGCTCATACCTTAAGAAAAGCACGAGGTCCTTCTTCGTTCATTATAGTCCTCACACAATCTGAAAGTCCCTTGTATTTGTTTGCTGATCCCTGAAAAGTTTTAGGAAAAATAAGTTCAGTAAGTAGAATAAATCTTTCAATGGGAGAAAAGTAAACACATAATTGGATACCTGGACCATTAATCTGGTTTTTATCACATCAAGTGGGGTAGTCAGAGCTCCAGTCACAGCACCTGAATGCGATCTTAGAGTTTTAGCAATAATCAGGATATATTTTCATGAAAGTGAGCCTTCAAACACTTGCAAACTCGAACTGAATATGTTAAAAAGAGTTTAGTTACCAGCAAATGCACCCAAGATAGCATTCTCAGGATCATTCAGATCTCTCTGTGCCTGAAGAAGACCTAGTTAACAATAATATTTGAAGTTTTTTCTTTCATATAAACTGACAAATGAAACACCAGAGAGAGAGGGGCTTAGCTAATTCTTTTCAACATGTAATTGAAAAGGTAATTAGTTCTATCCCGTTCATGTACAGATAATAGATATCTTATGAATCTTTCGAAGGTATGTCGAGTACAAATAAAGGCAACTGTAGGTTTCCATATCACATTCTTTTTCTCCAGGTTTTCTTTTCTGAAATCTTCACCTACGCCAAAAAATGAAATCCAACCAGCTGTCCACATTCCACAATTATTTATACACTGATGCTACATTAGGTGGGTCGGGTAGAGTAAAGGCTAAGGATAGTGATAAGTAGGGTAAGAGTTTAATTTGTATTAAAGATAATTGACTAAAATAATGGGTATGATAGTTTAAATAACCATATTACACATTTCTTATTTTTTAATTTAAATTCTTTTATAATTTAAAGAAGAAAAAGAATGGCAGCTATTTGCAGGCTGCAAATAGCTGCCGCCATCTGAGACAAAATCAAGGCTAGACAGCTGCTATTTGGCAGCCCTTTGGCCCCAAATTTGGCCAGAAATTAGTGGTTTTTGGTTGGGATGGGTGTTCTCTGGTGGTGCAAAGTTCTTATTCACCCCTTGATGGGTGAGTATAACTACTAAACCTAGGGTAGGAAGTGCATTATCCTTAACAAAATTAGTTAGGCCAAGCATCGAATATGGTAGAGTAAGAGATCTTACCCTACCCTATGCTACCCATCATCCAAACGCAGGTTGGGAGAAAGTGAGCTTACTGCCAGCTTATATCCTATCCGTAGTTGCTCATAGATGCAAAACTGGATGGCATCGAAAGGCAAATCTCGTAATAGGAAGGATCCATAACCCTGCAATTCCAGCAATAGATGTCAAAACATTCACACCAAGAAACCATTTTTCCTGAATTCAGTAAAAAATAGGTAAGAGGTTTCAGCTGTAGCGACCAGATGAATCTAAAAGGAAAGGTGGAAATAACTTTCAAAAGTGATGCTTTGGATAGTATGCTATCAATCCATTTTCATTTAAAATTACATAACAATGATAATCTATAACTGAGTATCACAATCATAGTGCTCTCCCATACAGAATACTTATTATGATTGAAATTGTTCTAACATTAGATAGCACCTATGTTTCTCCTCAATTTCACAATGTAGAAAAATAATGATTGTTCTGACTTGTCCACAGACTGCAATGTTGAATCTTAAATAAGAAGAGTGTTACATACCGCATAGAGACCTTTAAACCCCTCCTTTGCAACAATAAGACGAACAGCATCAGGGGCTGAAGCAAACTGACCAGTTTGCATCCTTTGTTTGACAACCTGAACCTATGGGATGAGCACAGTCGCAAAAAGCAAATGGGGAAAGGATAGATAATAAACATGTAACATCAATTACCTCTGTCGGAACACGAACAATGGAAGAAGCAGCACCTCCAAGGGCACCTGCAGTCTGAATAAGCTTTTAAAACCTACTAAAATAACACAACCCTATATCCAGTAACTCAAAATGAAGTTCCTCTTCATCTCAAGAAAAGGAACTTTAAAAAGCAGGTAATATAAGTTTTATCACAATCTTCCCATAAACTGTATTCACGATGCTAGAATTATTTTTCAGCTATAAAAGGTGGTGTTAGAATGAATTTTTTATCAGGGAAAAACATGACAATGATATAAGTCCATCACAATCTTCCTATAAACTGTATTCAATACACTAGAATTATTTCAGCATAAGAACACAATTGTACGATTAAAGTTGAGGTCTTTCTAATGAGTCTAGAACAATCTGATTTTGTGGTTTGTCTCCTTGAGAAAAACATGAACAATTAAGGTCTAAATCCTAAAGCAATAGGAATGTGATTAGTTCCATTTTCCTTCAACAGCATACAGTAACAAGTAACGACAGTATCAGATAAATGCACCATCAAGTATAGTCTCCTTCCTTCTTACACCAAGATAAACTAGAGCAACACTTCCATCGAGGGAAAAATATATACTGTCCAAGGATCAGTACAGTTTTAGCAAAAGTAACTTACCAAATGAGCCAAAGCACTGAAGTTTTCAGGTAAAGTCTTCAGTAATTTTTGCTTTGCAGGTTCATATACACCAAGAAATATGGCTGAAGCCCTGTGCGTAAAAGATAAGCTCGTCAGGCACATGCATTCCAAACAACAGTAACAATTCAAAAGAGAGATATCACAAGATCAGTACAATCAAGAGAAGGAGAGATAAAAGTATTCTTAAGATCTATTGATAAGTAGAAAAAAAGAATGCATGCAAAACTCTACATAGCACCGTCTCCGAAGTCAATACAAGAACATTGCAAGGAACAAGCTACACAATAGAATGACATAAGTCTCCTTACCGCCATAAAGAGGTATATTAAACACGTCAACTATTTCTTTGAAAGATTTGATCAGAAAATAGAATGTCATCGGCCTAAAACAAAAAAATCATAGGGATACACAAAGTCTTATGTCAATTGGCAGTCAGAGACATTTAGTTTACATTGAAATCCCCATTTTTATATAGAATATTATGAGCCTGTTATTTGTATATAAAAAGTCATCTCTAAACTAACAGCCCATAGTATAATTCCCTTCATTGATACTCGACAGGATTAAAAAAAGAGAAAATTACACTTTCATCCCCTGTGGTTTGGTTTTTCTTTTTTTTCTGAATGCAATACCTCCAATTTCTTTTTTTTTTTCTATAATGCTTGACTCAGTAATTTATTATTTAACATAATATTGTCATATTTGCACATGTTCCTGCTTATAAATATATGTGGAAACCGAGACTAAACAAATTAAAATCAAGAAAGGAAATCAAAAATATTAAAACTATTGATCTTATGTTAAAAACACAGAGTGAACAGATGAAACCACAAAGTAGTATAGTGTAGTTTGCCCAAAAAACTTTCAGCAAAATTTTGCCACTTGTAACCAGATTCCAATCACCATGGCCAACTAAATCAAGCTTACAATCACTGAAAACAAAGAAAATATAAAGAAATCAAGATAAAAGCAACTTGAGAATGGTTTGAAGCTTTCCATAGAGTCAAATAATATCCTTGCAGGCTGCTAATTTATGGGGTTTAGGATATGTAGCACAGAATTTAGAATCCAATCAGCTTTCACCTGAAAGCTAGACAAAGAAACACGAACCCCATGGAAGCAAAAAGAAAGAAGAAGCAATGAGATGTTCAACCTATATGCTAATGCATAAATTGCCAAATGTTGGGTTACTAGCAAGACTCACGGTAAGACGCCAGCAAGATTTCCACCTATTCCAGAATAGAGACCCTTCAAAACAATTTTTCCTCCAGCACGGGCTGCCTAAAGTAACCATTGAAAGTTAGTCCTAATAGCTCAAGGGAAAAAAGATAAAAGTTATATAAGTCAACTATGGTTAAAATATGAACAGAAAAAAAGAAAAGAAACAGAAGTGGACTAATAGGATGAAAATGGGAGACAAATGGGCATGAAAAATTATAGAATCCTTAGTCCCAAATTCTGAATGGAAATTGTCCCTTCTCTGAAGAGAACAAATGACCATAAGAGAAAAGCTAAACTTATCCTGCAGTTTCTACTAAATGTAAAAAAATAGACCGAACAGCTGCATAGTAGAGTCATATCAAGATCAGGCAACAAGAGATTAATAGATGATATAAAAATCCGCAGACTCCTCCCAAATTGAGCCATAAATAACACATGCTGGCAAATTGGTATATTTATTCGGAAGGATTAGCAAAGGAAAAAGATATCTGTGCCCTGCATCAGAACCAAAATATCTGTAGATCAAACAATAAAAAAAAAAAAAATTTCTTTCAGATTTTAGATTAATCGAAAATGTTCAAAGCGTGCTTTTTGCCCGTCAATTATCACGAAGGAGGCCTAAAACTAGAAGATTGGAGGCCGAAAAAATAAATTATACACACACACACGCAAAGGGAAAGAAGTATGAAGTTTAGGCATGGAAGAAGGTTCGATCATAAAATTTAATCGTTGATGGCTTTACATTTCAAGATTTTGCTTCAGTTGTTGAGTTTTAGAGGACCACAAAGGCTTGCTAGCCTAAAAGAACTACTGCAGTTATAAATGACTCTATACTTGTCATTGCTGGATCCCTTGGTCCTCCTGAGAATAAAATGCTTTTTTCTGTTGCCATGAAAAAGAAAAAGCACCTGTAATCGAGTTTTTATCGTATCAATTGGGTATAAAGCTGCTTCTACCACAACACCAGCAGCACCTCCAGCAATGACACCCTCTGCAAACACAAAACAAATCTTTAGGAGGATAAGCTGCCAAGCATACAATAATTCTTACCTTCAGGTCAAAAAAATATTTAAAAAATAGTTCTAATAATAAAATCCCCAAAAGGTACAAATTCATGGAATACACATATCATGCATCTAATTACCTTAATATCCACTGTTGTATAAAGTCACATCATTTTTTTTTTAAATAAAAATATCAGGGTATGATTCAATTCACAAGCACCAAGGTGTTGTAAACCTATGTACAATGTTATTTACATATCAAGTAAAACATCAATAAGACTCTCAAAGTTCTCATGTGAGTAAAGAAGATGATTCATAACCAAAAAATCTAGGGTCTAAAATCATCTATCTTTAATCCTATCAAAATCATCTTTCGTACCCTCAAAAACTCTCGTATTCCTCCCTTTCCGTACCACCCAAAATGTATCAAGGAGGTTGAGGCTCACATGCTTCTTCACACTGCTGATTCCTTTACGCAGCCAAATTTTTCCATCACTGAACCAATCATCATCCAATTAATACCCAAGAGGCCATAAGCAAGAGTCCAAATTTTATACACAAAAGAACATCACAGAAGGACATGAATACACAACTCTGGCCCCCTTTTGTATAAAAAAACAACCATTCACCAAAATTTTGCCCCTTCTCATCAGCTTGTCCATATTTAAAATGCAACATCTACCAGCTTCCCATGGAAAAAACGCATCACTATTTTGTTCTTCAGATATTTCACAAAACTTTTCATCATTGCTCCTAACTCTCAACTCATTCTTAAAAGTGACTATTTTTGTATGTATCATAAAGATTGCAAAACTCAGCACAAATAGAATAGAATTCTTCGAATCTTGTATCATAAGAATCCATATTAAAGTGATAAAAGTTCATTCCTTTTTTTCTGATAAATGATAATTCAGCTAGAAAAAATAAAATAAAATTTAAACTGTTACACCAAATATCAAACCATGAAGAACATCACCATATCACTAAAAATTTCAGCTCATTGTATCTCTGTAAAAGATCCAACGTCAAAAAAAGAATGTCATACGTACCATAGAAAACCCTCAAGAAATTTAAGTGCCTATCACCTCTGACACTATCTGATGCAAAATCCTTATTTGCCGTCTCCCGCATACCATGTATCTTACACGTTAATGCATCTGCGGTGCATGTACATAAAAGTTATACATCCCTAAAGCAGAAAAGAGAATTATGTTATTTGCAAACTGCAAGGTATGGGACTTGGGTCCCATGTTCAAGGCGGGCGACTGTGGTGTGAGGTGTGAGATGTATATGAGACTGTGCTCTTTAATTGATAGCCAGATTTTGAGGTATGATTCTCCCAAACTCGTATAAATCGTATCAAAATTATTGATCATCTCTCGGTATTGCAGTCACGCTGCGCAACTGGGGACACCGGAATTGCAGTGTTCACCGGGACTCCTCAAATTCAGGAGAAGATTCCCAATTCGACAAATCCCAATATCAGGCTCAACAAAAATAAAAGGAATTTGACAGGTTCAAGCAAAAAAACCAACAGAAAGTTTTTAGCTCGCAACTTAGATTAGTATAAAAATGGAGTTCTCGTAACAAAAAAAAAATTACCAGAAGTTGCTTTCTGTGAAATATCGGGACTCGTCGAAATGGGTCGAGGGTCCATCAAAAGTATCGGGCAATGACAATCTTGAGCTATGAAAATCACTAACGAATGATTACTAAAACAGCCTTCAACAATCAGACGCGGTAACAAAGATAGATACGTATATACCTAAAGATACTTACAGAGAAAAAATTGCAGGGGGAAGAGCGTGAATGCAGGAGTTGCTTGGATGCATCAACGGGAGGTAAAGGAAGATCAGATCTTGCGAGTAATCCCAGGGGAGAGGCGAGAGGTTTTGGGGGGTTTTAAACACGTTAATTTACTGAAACACCCCTGTCTATGCTTCGTTTAAACTGAAGGAATTTAGGAAATTAGTAGGGGCAATTAGGTAAACTTGATAATCAGGTCCAGAGACTGGGCAGCGGTTTATGAACTTTCCAGCCTCAAAAAAAAAAAAAAACGTTTCGATTTTGTTTCATGCTATAATAATAATAACAAAAACTCCTGGATCGAGAACCCCGTGGCGGCACACTAACGTCGTCAATTCAGTTAAATGTCTGTGAAATAGCAACTTGACTGCAAGGTCGGCAAGGGCCACGTGTCGAGTCATGAGTGGTCTGTTTCTCCCCTCAAACTCACCGCCAACTGTGAGGGCCTTCTCTCCTCCACCTGTGTTGGCCCATAAAGGTGAACACACGGTTTTTCACCTGCCTATATAATTTCATTTCTGGAAACTCACTCTTTCCTCGAAAACCAAACGGCAATTTCTTGAAATTAAATTTTAAAAAAAGAAAATTCATCGATTCCCTGTTTGATTGACTTTGATTGCTATATAAAAAGAAAAGAGTTGAAGATCTTTTAGTGATAGTTCTGCAACTTTCTTGGACGTAGTCTCTTGTTTTCTTTCTTAAATGATGTTTCTTTTTTCCTTTTCGTTGAATTTACTGGTGATTTTCGACGTTTCATATTATATCTCAACTGGGTATTTTCCATCAATAGCAGGCTCATCTGGGTTTTTCTTTTGATATTTTCTGAGGATTGACTTCAATCCTTTCAATCAAACAGGCAAATGTTTACCACCGTCTGTATCTACGCATAAGAAAATGGCAATAAAGATTAACAAGGTCATTGGCAGTTCCGCACCGGAAGAATTAAAGAAGGCTCTGCAAAAAGTAGCGACTAAATGGGGAGATGTTGTGGAGGACGTGGAATCATTGCAGGTGTTTCCATTGAAAGGCGCCATGACAAACGAGGTCTACCAGATAAATTGGCCGACGAAGAATCGCGATCACCATAAAAATGGAGTTCTCATTATAAAAAAAAAAAAAGGGGTTACCAGAAGGGGCTGTCTTGAGCTATGAAATTCCGTAACAACTTATTACTAGAACAATCTTCAACAATCACACGCGGTGACTAATACAGATACGTATATACATATAGATATTTACAGAGAAAGAATCGCAGAAGTTGCTTGGATGCTGCAACCGGAGGTAGAGGGAAGATCAGATCTTGCGAGTAATCTCAAGAAAGAGGAGAGGTTTAATTTACCGAAACACCCCTGCTACGCCGCCTTTAAATCGAAGGGATTCACGAAATTAATGGGGCCAATTATGTAAACTAGATAAATTATATCCAGAGAATGGGCAGCGGGCACAAGGCTTCGGGCCGTTTATTAACTTTCTAGACTCCAAAAAAAAAAACGTTTCAATTTTTTTTTGAAAATAAAAACGTTTCAAATTTATGTCATGCTATAATAATAATAATAATATGCTAGAACTAAGTAACTTGCACATAATGATGTTCTTCTTTAGAAATTATATAATTTCTGTTTGTTAACCTATTTTTTGACATTATGCAAAAAGTGAGAATTTTAAAATCAATCAGCTTATTAATCTCCTTGGTAACACGTATTCATCCACATGTTTTCACATTTCCTATTCCAATTCCTTTGTTAATCGGACTTCCTCTTCCTCTGTTGACACTTCGATACATATATTTTTATTTATATATATACACATTTATATATAGAGCTATTC